AGACTTCAAATGAGAAATAACATACAGATGAGAATTTTAGATGTACTTATTAGCATATTTTAAACTGATAATACAAGTATCTGGATATAACTAAAACATTAAATAACATTCTCAGTATCCAACAGAAAGATTTATACCAATTGCTTACACAGAGTGGCCTGAGATAAACACTACTCAAAGCAAGTAAGGAACACATGAATTGTGAGGCAATATTAAATAAAGTGACCCAAGATAAACAAAACCAGACATGGGACACTTCACTTTTTTTGGGGTTCAAGTTTATTTTGGTCTTGCTGCATGATTATAGAAGGAAAAAGTATTTGAAGACAAAAAATATTCAACTAAAGAATTGATACACTTTATTTACTTTCATTCTACATAAAAATGAGGTAATTACATGTTTCCCCCAATTTTTCCCTATACAAACAAGAACAAAAACTGTCTTGGGAAAAATTACAAAGCTGGAACACCGCCACCCAAAAGCAGCTTCAGCTAAAACACAACAGAACAGAAAATGCACCGGTCACAGAAATTCACAACGAACAATAAAACTCACAATGGCAACAGAACTATCAAGCAGTAATATTTAAAATGGGCCCATGCAGCATAATTTTTTTTTCGTGTTCAGAAAACATTTTGATTACACAAAAAAAGTGATAAATAGAACAGTGTTTTAAATTCACAGGGAATGTTAACAGCCTAAGGCAATATGACATAAGTACAACTGGCTCAGTTTAATCTCATCCTCAATAAAATTACACAACAGGAATGGCAAGAATCTATTAGTCACTGGTATCCATTAATATCAAATTTTAAAATTTTCTGCTTTCTACACAATTATTTAGGTTTACATTGCTTATCAAAATGTGTTTTGCTAATTTTTCATAATTTAAAACTTTATCTGATAATGCTTTTTATATATTACAAATTTAAGGTATATTAAAATTCACTTAACTTTAAAAACTTTTCCACTTAAGGCACTGTTAACTGCATAGTTTCTGATGCCTACCATTATGCCTATTGGCAAAAATGTATTTACATGAACATTCAAAGCCATCCCTGTTATAGTAATAATGTAACAGATGAACAGATTTCAAAGAAAATAAAAATATAAAGTAATTCCTTCCATACTAAGAATTTTATACATATAATATTACTGTTTTAAATGTTGAGCTTTTTCCCACCTCATCTCTTCATAAATGTTGTCAAAGTAAAATGAGTCCAATTAAGTAAATATATCATTTACTTTAATTTAAAAAAGTGTTTAAGGGTAAGTAGACAAGCCCATGCATTGATATGAATTTGATCATAAAAATTAAGTAATGCTTTCATTAATAAAATATAACCTAAGAGTTAAAAGTTTGTCATAAATACTTATATAAAATTTTTTATCACATCCAGACATGCATATCAAATATTATGTAAACATCATTAATGCAAGTTACCTATTAATATGTGTCTAATAAAATGAGGAATTTTAACTAAAATTTAGAAATCAAATGAATTATCTTGAAAATTCATGCATCTTCACATTTCTACTATGCACAGAATAAAACATTATTCTATATGAGCTTCAACCAATTCTTTTAAGGGAAAGAATGTGTAAATTTTCCAGGAAGTTTGATTATCCACTTAAATTATACATAAATCTGATTTTTTAAAAAAGTTTATAAATGATAAGTATAGCCAATTCTTACATAATTTATTTTTAGCTTCAAATGCAATTTGCATTAGCTTTGAAACAAGCTAATTTTGAATTTGTTTTGCAGTGTCATTCTAATGCTCCTTAGTGATAATGAAACAGACATAAAGATGACAAATTCAACAATTAATTAGCTTGAATTTACTAGTCTGTAAAACCTAATCAAAGGTTGTTGTTAGTACAAAGCAATTCATTTTTAAATGATGCAACATAATAAAATAAATTTAGAGTTAAATATATATTCCTAAATTTTCATAGCAAAGAAAGTCAAATATAAAACTCTGAATCTTCGAGGGATACAAAAAGTTAATTTTACCTATGACTCGATTAGAATTTTCAGTGTTTCACCGGGAAATTAACAAGTCATTTCTAAAACAGCCTACAAAACTGAATATACAGATTCAGTAGATCATTTCTGATTACAAAAACTCAGGTAACATAACACAATGTTCCAGATCCTTTTATTTAAATCATGATACAGGTATAGAAATGTATTTGTTATGTGCATAATAAAACTTATGCTTTTTAGTGATATTGAAAAGAAAACTAAATTTCTTCATCCAAAATGAATACATGTAGCTCACTAATTCATATATGACTAAAAATGCAGATTATATATAGAAGTTTGCCAACAAAGCATAATCTCTCATCAAGTCAGGAATTCTCAACCCAAACTACTCAGTATTGTAAATGTCTCACCAATTATGCTATGCTGTAAATATTTGTAAAATACAGAAGCTGTATAATTTATAGCTTTAATAAGGTCAGTAAATTATGAGAATTTTTGTATCTATCAAAATAAAATACATTGAATAAAAAAGCTCATCATTTAAAACAAAGTAATACAACAATTTTCAGTACTAAACAAATTTCTTTTGATATAAAGAAAACGTAAAATCTCAAAACATGCAACATTCAGTATGTTATATTACAATGTAAATTTTGAATACACAATAAACACAGAGCTATGTACATTTTGCAGTTAGTGACACTTGTGCTAATGAGGCTGAATGGTGCATTGATTTATTTTCCTGTTGCTTTTAACACATCTAAGAGCTTATGGCAGTACAAAATTGGCACTTCAGGTGTTCAAAATGATAAACAAATATTTTCACAACTGTAAAAAGTTCATCACATGCAAATGATAAAACAAACAACAAATTTACAAACTTCAATGCAAGGAAGAAATAATGTCATCAATTGTGATGCAGACTTCAAACTTGTGCTTTATATTTTGAAGTAAAAGAGCTAAGAGTAACTTTTAGAGGAAGTGGGAGGTAGGGGATTATTAGATGCATTTACATGGAAAGTATTAAGTTGCCTGGAACTCTTTATATATATATATATATTGAAATTTAAAAAAAAAAAAAAATCTGACTTGTACTACTCTATGTTTCTGGGTTATTCAAGTACAATTTAAAATATTTTAATACAATAAATGCTTTTTAAAGCTCCTACTTGTGTTATGTTCAAAACAAATGAACAAGCAAAAGTAGGAAACTAAAATAAACTGTTATACAATATATCATGCAGATATATTGCAAACGTAAACTTAACATTTTAAAAATCCATTAACAAAACCTAAGATGACTTTCATACATAACTAATTGCATTAATTTCCATATTAAACATTAGAATCATTGCCACGTGTAAAGTTAACTTTAACAAAATTGCATACTTCCAAAATAATTTTATGAAGCACAACACTTAGTTTAAACAAATTGAAATTCAAGCAAGAATTTTGAAACTGAAGACTTTGGAGCAATAACAAGACTTCCAATTAAAGACTATTCTAGAATTAAATAATTGTATATAAAAATTATTATTCAAAAATTATTATTTTTATTCACAATTATATGAAATGCTTTTATTACCATTTTTAACATAAAATTAAAATCAATATCTTATGCTATAAAATAAATACTTACACCAGTACATATTTATTAAAGTATATCCATCCTTCCTTCAAAAATTAATTTATTTAAGTCATATCCTGGAAGATATTATGCCCACTTATCTTTTTCTGATTTGATATATCTATTAAAGTGTCAAAAAAAAGAGAGAGCTGAAGGAATTTACTACCCTAAGCATACCAGCTAAATTGCCATAAAACTAGCCATTTCATTATCAATTCACTTTTTTTTTTTTTTTTTTTAAATATAATTTGATACATTATGAAATAAAGTTCAGCTACAATGCAGCATTTCTTTGGCTTATCTTAATATGTGTGTTGATGTATATATACTAAATAAAGACAGCTACATAATTATATACATATATATATACATACACACACAATATTGATGGATAATTTTAATTAAGCTTTGCTCTTATAGCCTTATTCAACAGGGGAAAACTGAACTATATAATGCACATGCACACATAGGCATCTAATAAATTTAATCTATCACTTAATGAATTATAGATCAGCTGAGGCATCTAATAAATTTAATCTATCACTTAATGAATTATAGATCAGCTGCTATAAATCTTAACATGATACACAATAAACATTTATTAAAATCTAACAAGGATTTGATTTAAAAGCTTATGATGCAGTTATTCTTTTCCACAGAGTTATGTTTAGCATTTTCAAAGAATCGTAATTCAAATCAAAGTATCAAATCATCTAATTATAAAATTACTAACAAAACAAAAATAGCATAATACCAGGGCCATCCAGGAAGTAGATTACGTTTCCGTCTGTGTCCGCTAGGGGCGGGGCTAGCGCGGCCATCTTGGGGTCAGAGCGTTGCGCAGCTCAGTCTGCATCTAGCCGTGCTAGTGAGAGGTTCGTGCTGTGCTCCGTTCAGATACTGTGACGGTTTGAAATGTCTGCGTTAATTGAAAATCCCGCGAGCTGCGCTCAGTAATAAGGTTTCTGACTGCAAAAAACTGTAAACCGATAGAAATCTATCGGCAGCTTCGTGAAGTGTATGGGGACAACATATCACTGAAGGTGGAGTGCGTCATGGGTCATAAGATTTCAAAATGGCCGAACCAATGTTCACGACGAAGATCGAAGTGGGAGACCCAGCATAGTGACCGCCGAACTTCTCGAAAAAGTCGATGCTAAAGTCCGTGAAAATCGAAATTTCACAATAACGGAACTTTGAGTTTTCCACAAATTTCGCGAAGTTTGTTGCACGAAATCATCAGCGAAAAGCTTGGTTACCACAAGTTTTGTGCAAGATGGAAGGCAAGAAGAGGTAACGAAGTGGTTGAAGGCGCAGGCGGCCGAATTTTTCGACGAAGGAATTTCCAAGCTCGTACATCGCTACGATAAATGCCTTAATTTGTATGGTGACTATGTAGAAAAGTAGTAGTAGTGTGGCTTTCATCTGTATATAATAAAATTTGTTTCCTATACTTTGTTTATTTTTTTATTCCAAAATGTAATCTACTTTCTGGATAGCCCTCGTAACAAACTACAACTTTAGATTATTGCTATTTATCAATGCACAATCTTTGTAACTCATTCCTCATGCAATGCTTATATTGCTAAAAAAATATCACTTCTATTATGTTTCTGAAAATACATCTAAAAATTTCTCACAGTATATTTATTTTCAGATTTCAAATTTTAAATATTCCAAAAGCACAGTTTATTTTAAAAAGTCTCCTTTTTGCCCTTAAGTCTTCAGTTCATAAATTTGATATTCACTAATGATTGGGTAATAGTACTATCGATTCACTGATGCCAATAATTTTAATATGAAATATTTGCCCAACAAATAGATTTAAGCAGCAGCAAAAGAAAATATTAGCAGACAGTACATAAAGCTTATACCACTTTTATATATTAAAAAAAAATTAAATACAAAAGGAATGTCAAAGGATGTCACTGTATGGAATGTTTAGAAGGAGACAAAAGCTTCCATTTACAAAAAATGTCAAACTGCAGTCAATTTTACCAACATGCAATATTATGTAACAGTAGTTTCTCTAAAGGTAGAAGGGAGAGATAAAATTTTAACATTTTAGTAATTAAGTATGCTAAAAATAAACTTAATGATAATTATTCAATTTTCATTCTAAAACTGCAATTAATGATTATTTTCACCATATTATACATTTTAGAATGCAAATACATCTGTTACATATATAAATAATCTGTTTACAGCATAGGTATTAAAAAATCTGATACCTATGCTTCTCACCCCCTATTTAACTGAAAAGAGCTGTCGGTTCAAAATATTAATTATTGCTCTATAAAAATTTATAATAAAAGATGTTTTTATTCGATACTTGAACACAGTTTTTATAGCAGTTTTTAAATTATTAATTCAAAGCCGATTTTATAGAGTTATTGCAACACAAAGTTAAAATGCATAGGTAATATTTTGGCATTGACATTGAAAACTGTCTCCAATCAACACTAAAACATTTACACATGTACAAAATTGGCACCAAACACTTTATTGACCCAGTAGCACCAGTCTTGCATAGCACTGCATTGCATACTAAGTCTTCTGGCCACCTGCAAAGATGCTGAAGGGCAGAACAAGATACATGCTACAGCATAAACTGTTTTAACCCCTTAAGTTATGGACTGGTGTTTAAAAGTCATTTTAGGATTTTAGAGTGTAGTGCATGAAGTACACAAAAATTCTCAAAATGCAACACTGAAAACAAAACTTTTTTCACCATTTCTAAAACGAATACACAATTTTGATTTTAAAAAAAAAATTCTTTATAATTTCACAACTGCAAATCAGGACTATATGTTTTTAAGCTTAGACTACTCAAAGGGTTAAAATTTAAAATGAATTTCACAAGTTGACACATCTTTAGGTGACAACAAATGAAAAGTATGCCACCGGTAAAAACTAATGTTTCCAAAGAAACCCACACATGATCAATGATCTCCTCGCAACAGTTCCATGAGAAGGTTAAAGCTGGGCATATCACCAGCTTTCTGCTTTGTCGTCAAAGAGTCTTTACCGACTTGACATGCACGTTCAAGTTCAGGAAGACGAAGCAGAAGTTCTCCAAACTTGCTTGGATGATGAGGGTAATGGGAGCCTGTATAGTTCTGGAGAGCTTCAAGAACTTCCTTTTCTGACAAGCACGTACTTTATCGGGCTCTTTCAATCCATGGGCATCTAGAAAGAATCAATTATAAATATGTAGCTCTACACAACTACAGTCAAAAGTCGTTAATCTGGACTCGTCGGGACTTCGCCGATTCCGGTTTATCGATTTTTCCGGATTATAGATCATCAGTTTAAATCTGGTAAGATGGCATGCAGAAATTACAAAATTAAAAATATGAAACCGTAATTTATGAAATAAAGAACAATTATGATCTAAAGGGTATCAAAATTTACAAAAAGAAAAAGCTTAATATTTATTTGTTTACTTTATTAAACATTTCCTTCAATGTAAGTTGCTTCCTTTCATGTGATAATACTTTCTCTTTAATTCTATTAAACAGACATAATTTCTTGTTTAGTTACAAAGTTCCGCTGTTCAAGTCCTATAATTGCTGTGTTGAGAATACGGACTAATTTGTCAATCGAAATGTTTTCGTTTTCAATAACCTCTGGGTCACTTTCTTCACTATCGGAAGCGAATTATAATGACGAGGAACTTAATTTAAATCATATCAAAGACCTTAGTACGGAATTATAAACCAAATAAAATAAAAACATCTGCTCTGAAGATAAGGATAGTGCTGACAGATCAACTTCCAATCCCCAGCGTGAAATTGATAAACAGATTTCGGATTTCAAAACATACTTTCGCTTTGTAGATACAAATTACATATTAGTAAATATATATCGGAAATTCTATTTGACATAATCTTTCTAATCTATCATAATCTAATAATGACGTTTCTGCACCCCCCCCCTCGGCCGCAGAGCAGCGTGAAATTGATAAACAGATTTCGGATTTCAAAACATACTTTCGCTTTGTAGTATATCGGAAATTCTATTTGACATAATCGAAAGTTCAAGCTTACTTTTATAAAATTGCTCTAACAGTCTGCAAAAAATAATAAGCCGGATCCAATTCGAAGATTAAGGAACAACGCAATCTGCAACATTAAATGGATTAGATAACTTTAGCTTAGCGTATAACTCCGTTACACATTAAACGCGCATGCGCGCAAACATATTCGCAGCTGTAAGGGTCTTATGCGCTCTCGTAAACGCCTGTGCGCATGCGTGAACGCGACGCATGCGCAGAAAGTTTGTAGCTTTGAGGTCCGGATTATAGATCATTCCGGATTATGGGTGTCCGAATTAACGACTTTTGACTGTATAACAATTTTTTATTTACCATGAGCATGACACATAATAAATGTGGCGTTCCGACAGATACTTCAACTGCTATTCATGAGATGGCGCCATGTGAAAAATCCAGTTCTTAATCGGAGCCTGTTTCAGGAGCCTGTTTAATATAAGATGGCCTGTTTCAGGAAATAATTTTAATGCTGCAGTTAGGTGGCGAAATCATGGAATGTGTGACTTAACCTTCCAGCACGTGCATATGCGCAAAATTTACAACAAATTCAATTTTTAATGCATATTTTTCGCATAGCGAAGCTGAGATGTCTGAAGGTCATTTCTATTCCTCCTTTCTACCCTACCCCACATCATGGAATATGCCAACAGGAAGGAAGTCATTTAACTTTTTTTTTTTTTTTTTTAACTGGGCTTTTGTGCTACGTGGCAGTATTTTCCATAAAAGTTAATGGGACGCGCGTGGTCGTGTTTTAAAATTCGGAAAATTTTTTTTTTCTCAAATATTTTGTAATTTTGTGTTGTTAATTGGCATGTATTCTTTTAATTTGAATACATTTGGCTCTGTAAATTTTTTAACAGTTTTCATGGCAAAAAAATATGTGCAACCAGCTGATTTTGCTCGGATTCTTCAAGAATTATTTGAAGAAGAAACGGGAGACAAGGAAACCTTTGTATGGGAGAACAATAGAGATTTCCATTCCTTATTTTCTTTTATTTCTATTTTTTAGAAATAAATAAAAACATTAAAGTTAGTTTAAATGCATTTTTGTAACCAGTAAGAAGTAAATTTCCTTGCAGAAGTAAGTAATGCTAAACTTACTTTTTTTCCCAGCAAGGTGTTTTCTTTTCTTTTTTTTATTGTCTATACTTGTCTTTGATGAATATTAAAATTAGCTTCGATTTTAAAAATAATTATTAAATAATAAATTTAAAATTTTCTATAATGAAATACATCACTGCATTTCCATCTCACTAACATAAGAACTTAAATAAAATTAATTATATTTGAATGTGATATCATTTGTATTTTGCAACAATAAGATTAATACAGTCAAAAGTCGTTAATTCGGACACCCATAATCCGGACCTCAAAGCTGAAAACTTTCTGCGCATGCGCCATGTTCACACATCCGCATAGGCATTTATGCGTGTGCGTAAGACCTTTACAACTGCGCATATGCGTGTGCGCATGTGCAGAACACGTTTTCGCGTGCGCGTTTAATATATAACGGATGGTATAAGCTAAAATTATCTAATTATCTATTTCAGTTAATGTTGATGATTGCGCTGTTCTTTAACCTTCGAACTGGATCCAGCTTATTACTTTTTTCAGACTGTAAGAGCAATTTTATAAAAATAAACTTGAACTTTCGATTATGTCAAATAGAATTTCCGATGCTGGAGCTCCCAAAGGATCTACAAAACGAAAGTATGTTTCAATGTCCATCAAACAAAAAGTGGAATTGCTGCAAAAATGGATATAAAGACATGAAGAAGGTGACAGAGAGGTTTAGTGAAAATGAAAAAAATTTTGATTGACAAGTTAGTCGGTATTCTCGGCACAGCAATTACGGGACTTGAAACAGGGGAACTTGTAACTGAACAAGAAATGGTCTGTTTATAGAATTAAAGAGAAAGTATTATCACATAAAACGAAGCAACTTAAACAACTTACATTGAAAGAAATGTTTAATAAAGTAAACAAATAAATATTAAGCTTTTTTTTTTTTTTTTTTTTTTTTTGTAAATTTTGATACCCTTTAGATTTTTTTTTATTTTGACTGTATTTTATTTCTTAACAAATTTATTATCAATATTCACTCATTTCTGTCATTTTTCGTGCCAAAAACGGTAAAATAAGGGATGTTGTAAAAAATACGATGCGCGTGTGCTCGTGTAAAATTGCCAAGCATGCATGCTGGAAGGTTAAGCAGCCTGAATCCTGGATCTGTTGCCTTGGAGTTTTATATTACACTGCAAAGCAAAAGTCACTTTAGAGTAAAAAGAGCAATTACTTTTACATTGCGAGTAACAAATCTATAACCTATTACTTTGGAGTGTGGCACCGGGAAAATGATATCTCAGCTACAACAGAATATGTTCCATTAGAAGTCTGTGCTATAATAATTTATTATTTTTCAAAGAGGGAGAAGGAGTGCATGTTTGCACCACAACCAAACAAACTGTGCAATGGTCCATTTCCTAAGGTAGTTTTAATACTGAGTTCTGCTTGTGAGATTACTAAAATTTACACGAAATGATCTGGGGTGTGATCATGGGTCTTGTTTCCGAGCAACTTAACAAGTCAATCAGATTCCATGTACCGTTTTTTTCCCCTTTGAAATATATATTATTAAGCACTTTTCGACACATTTACACTCACTGATGATACATGTTTTCAAAAAAAATTAAATTTGTTGTTAATAAACTCCCCAAAACCATTTTTGTTGTGCTATTTAATGTCCTTGGCTAAAGCCATCTTGGTCGTCCCAGCTCTTTCCATGTGCAGATGGAAGAAAATCAGCTGATGCCAAATCAAATAGAGAGAATGGAATGAATACATTTAAACGATTATGGCAAAGCATAGCTCTCAGGATGGAGCTTAAACCAAAAAAAACTTGAAATGCATCAAGGAACAGTGTTTCTTTGGCTGTGATGTGAACTGCTACTTAAATTTATTTAGCCATTTTAATCAAATTATTTACAAATAACAGTGACTTTATAAATACTGCCTTTCACAAACCATTTGTATGTAATGCTATAATGCTTTAAAATAAGTTTTAAACATGAAACTAAGAAAGGAAAAGGGGGAATTCAAAGCCTCTGCGACTGGCAACAAACTTTTACATTCTTGAAAGCCATTTTTAAGCTATGTCACAGGGGCAATGGCAGCACAAAATGTTGTATGCAGCAAACACTTCAGAATGTATTCTGTTAAAATAAGCATGAGTTATTTACAGATTCTTGTAAGCAGTACTTTCAACCAAACTTTGGGAATAATTTTGCAGTTAACAACATTAAGTGTAAAAGCAGCATTAGACATATAATTCTAAATACTGGTGACAGTAGTTCTCAGGTGTTTTATTAAGGGAATTTAAGGAAAAAAAGTCCCTTAAATTGTGAAGTTGAAAATATAATGGAAAGTAATGAGAACAGTACGGATGTTCATTTTAATTACAACTTCATTAAAGTCAGTTTTTCATTGATATTGCTACCATCGAAAACTTACCACTAATGATAATAAATTTTATTAGTTAGCAACAGACAGCATCAGGCATGAAAGTGCAAGTTGGCAAAAAAAGCTGAACAACACGCGGACACAAAATTACACAAAAACTCATTGCGCACGCACAACCTCAAAAGAATATCAACCTTTTAATATAAAAAGTATTAAACATATACATATAATTAAACTAAAATAATACTTGTACTTACTATTTTGCTATTAATTTTATCTTCCACTTGTAAAAAAAAAATCAATAATATAACACCAGAAAAAGTAGTCATGTGAGATAATATAGTTACAAAATAACATATAGTTAAAGGAGGAATACAAAAAATAACTATTTTGTCTCAGTCTCACTCGATCCTGATTAAAAATTTTTAGGGAAAAAGCTTTTTCTTTTTTGCTATTTTTGCAGCCAACTTTTCTAATTTCCGTTTGCGAGCTAGTCTCAATTTCTTTTCAGCAGCTTTTATACAATCCATTGATACTTTTTTATTTTTTTCTTTATTTTCTACAATGTTTAATTGCTTTTTTTTTTTAGATTCTCGCTCCTCCTTTTCTATCTCTAGCTCTTCTTTGTACAGTTTATGAGCATTCCTTACATTTTTACATAGAGTTTTGTGTACTGGAGAATGCAAGTGGTTATCCATATGTCCGACAGATCGCGTCAGCACCGATCGATGAAATTATTGAAGTCAGCTCTTGTTTGACGGTTGCTTGCTCTTCTTTGATTCGATATTTATACGCATCTAGTTCTGCCTTTCCACATAAGCCCCACCTACTTCGCCTTGATGTGAAACAACGCATTTCGCGATCTCAGCTCAGGCAAACTCAAAAAGTTTGCAACAAGGGGTGCCTGCGTTTGATCGCTAACCCGGCATAATATTATACGATGGCATGATGTAAAGTTTTTTACAAAGGAAAGAGGAAAAGAGAGAGCATGTCCTCCATTTACCCCCCCCACACACACACACACGCACACACATTTGCCGGTCGCGACTTCTATGCCTGCAGCATAAATATTGTCCTAAACTGTAGAATATAAGAATTATAATTCGTGTTTCTGGTTTTATTAAACAAATTTCTATTAGCATTATAAATATACTACAAATTTAGGAAGCCACAACAGGTCAAAACGTGGCAGAGAAGTTCTTCATAAATATATTATTATAAATTCTTTGGTCTATTTAAAAATACCTCTCTACATCAATCAATCAAAAAAATATCCAGTTATTAGATAACTATGTTTACTCTTACAGCAACTTTATTAAATAATGTGAATGTATTTGTTAAAAATTTGCATTCCTCCCATTTGCGACTTTGCAGAGCAGAAAAGGTGAACTATATTATAGTACAGAAAAACCCTCTCAAAGAGAGAAAAGGTTGTGTGTCTTCCCGGTTCTGATGGTGCTGAAGACTGTCTTTCCTGCCATGACTATCCTAAGTGTTTGTCAACGTGGCCAGCAGGCGGGATTCTTTCGAGCATGGCCATAAATGTGATGCATAGAGTCCTAACATGGAACAACATATTGGAAGAAATATACTCTGATACCATCAAATCATGTCGTACTAGACAAGTATATTCGCATGTTACCCACTGTATAATTTCACTAATGTGTCATAGTCTGACATGATATGTTCATCTATTTTGTTAAATGGAAAGAAAGTAAATGATTAAATCTTACATTCTCAACTTAGTACAATTTATACTTCTGTAGCAATAAACCTCTGTTCTACGTGTACTACTGTGTTTATCTCTCAAGGTTCTTTAAAAAACAACAGTATCAGGATTTTTTAAAATCACTTTCATTAAATAAAATTAATATATTAAATACTGGATATTTTGTCATCACAATTTCATTTAATGCTTATAACAAACTTGTTTCAAGTTCAAAAAATGATAACCATAGTCCAATATTTGAAGGAGACCAAGACATTTTCAGAACATTATTATTTATTTATTTTAATCAGGGCTTTAAATGGATTACAAAAGTGAAAAGATATTTCTGCGCTCCAGGCTGTAATTGCAATTTCGTAATTTCAAAAGAACTTCCAACCTTGAAAATTTAGATATGCTTCATAGCATATGCTCTATTAATGCAATTACATAAAATCAAATTTAAATTAAGTTGAAATTGAAATGATAAGGGTAAAAGTCTGGTTAACTGAAAATCTGATTTGTTGCAAACAGTTAACATTAATTGCAAATTCTAATTTACCGTTCAATTTGACTTCTAAAAAACTTCCAGTTAACAAATTTCATGTGATTGAATGCTGCTGATTTTTGTAATGAATATATATAACTGACTCAAACAATTAAAAAAATTAGTTGATGTCAAACAAACTAGATATTAGGTAACCGTAAGTCAAATTAACATCATAAAATGTGATAAAAGTATAAGTATTAAAAACTCCACCTGCAGTGGAGACATAAATGTTCCTGCAAATTCTGAGCTTCAACAAAGATCAGAAATGACAGATTTCACTTTCGAAATCCTAGTTAGTGACGAAAACAGAACAACACTGAAAGCCATCATGAGAAGTATCCCTGCTCCCAGCAACAAGAGTGTGTGAAGTTCTGCAAAATTTAGCTCAAAGTGCCCATTTTTTAACCCGATAGTCAGAAAGAATTTGCTCCATCTCTGAAATGATTCTCGATGCAAATGATTCTGCTGTCCTGCTATGATATTAAAAGTACACACAGCTGGGAACACACGATCACACAAGCAGCCTAGGAATAAGCACTACCATATAACATGCCAATCCACAAAGTGCATGGCATGTGTATCAATTAAAAATATTAAAGTAAATTTATGCAATTACATGTACATTTTCATTACATTATTATCTTAAATTGGCTTATTGAGCTGAAGGCAAGCACTATTACTGTAACAATGCCTTGAGTTATCATGTTAACCCATAAGTAATGTGCCACCCCCTTCCAAACTGAAATAAATGTTGAAGGAGAATGGGATAAACTACCTGCAACTACTTTACTATATAAAAGCAGAAGTAATTTTACCTTGTCCTTTTTCTTACTACAGTTTTGAAGAGGGCAGTTCAATTTTAAGTTACTTTTTCAAAGCTAAATGGAAGTGACAAAAGAGTATATTTGAATTATTTTGCTTTATGACTTCAATTAAATAATTACTAATAGAAATATTAATGCAGTACATAGGGATCAGACAATAAGCCAGTTTTATTGATGGTTCTACAAATTCCAAACTAAAAAACTACAGCCTAAAATACTTGCCTCTTCGTAGAAGATCAACAACAATATCCTAGAACCTTGATGGAACAAAATTCCATTGAAACTATTAAGAACTACCAGAGGATGCAGAATAGAACATTTTAGATTAAAAAAGCACTTTAATTTTGAAAAATAAACGAATTATTTAAAATAAGTATTGTTTAAGAGATGGCTCAATAAACTGATAAGAAGAAAATGCAAAAACACTTTACTGAGAAGAGAAATTGAGCTATTATTACAGGAAACTTTACCATCAGAGAATTGGATTCTCAAATTTCACAGGTAAAACACTGATAAGCCTACACCATAACTTCCATGCAACATTCTTTTTCAAAAATAAAAATGAGCTTCAGTATACAGCACACCTAGACTTTGCTTTAATTTTACAATCTAATCCGATTTCATGTAAGTTAATTGTTCCATTGGAAATCTAGTCTTTGATGAAACTACCATGTTTGGTGGTTTTATCCATACAGCCATCTGCAAGCAATAATCTACACAGACTATAGGGACAGAATACCAGAGGAAGAGGATCTCAGACATAGCAGCTCAAGGCAACCTTACACGGTTAATAATGCCTCAACCTTCTGAGCCCATCTGAGGAGGCGCCACCCCCTCCAGTCAATCCAGAGGAATTTAAATAATTCACTACCACAAAATAAAAACTCAAGCATAGTGGGAGATGGCTTCATATCCCCCAAAAATAACAAGTTACAGGTTAGACATCGTCATCCATGTTCCCCAAGAAAAGCCCACCCCCCCCCTCCGACAACCTGTGATATCAAACCAGTTAGGGAGAAGTTTATAAACAAAACTGTTCCTAATTCCTGTTACATGCAGGAGAAATTCCATGCAGCCAGTTCATTCAGTAATGGAGAAAAAACTTATGTTTAATTATCTTTTATTTAGGGGTCTTACCTCTTCAATTACTGGTGGGAACGTAATTAATCAATAAAACCAAAAAGTGATATGCTCAGATACAGTATGATACATTACAAACTGGTTGTGTTGCTGACATATCTCATGAATACATTACAATTACAGTGATCAGAAAAAATATAAAAACATTACTAAACTCCATGGTCAAATATTTCAAATGCTATGCAATGTTGTTTAGCTAATAAAATTAAATGGAGGTATTCTTACAGAATGACACACATTCCAAGAATAAGTAAGTTGTGTATTATCATAAAGGCAAACTGAACAAATAAATGATTATGTCATAATTAATATTTCATTGCCAAGCTGAGAGAAATTTAAAACAGACTTACCAGATGTTAATAAGATGATAACTTTCAATGATACATATTCATATTGATCAACTTGAAGTCTCCTGAGGTGCTCGGTGAGATTAATCATGCGCTCTATGACAGGACTGAGGCCCATTGCTTGGGCCTGTGAAACAGTAACGGATTTTTCATGGGAAATTCGAATTTCATTTGGAGTAGACATTGACCTATAGCAGCAACTGAGTAACAGCAATTCACACCAGGAATTTATTAGAAGAGCAATTTGGTCATCCATCTATTTAAAAAAGTATAAAAATATAAACCATGAATAATCTTCTGAGTCAAAAACTACTTTTAATACACAGAATCTAGAAAAAAATAAAAGTTCAAAAGAGAACATATTGTCCATTTTCAATATTATAAGACCAAATCTAATATTGAGTTAACACAGGTTCAGATACTAAGGTAAACAAAGTTCAGATACTAGGATGCATCAAGTGTAAAGACAATGCAAAAATTATTTTTAAATTTTAATCAATACTACAAAAAGATAGGACTAAAATTTATATTAAAAATAATCATTTAATCACATAATTGCAATAAAAATTAATATAAAAATAGGAAGGTACTTGGGAGGAAAGAAATTACAAAACTTAATTAATTAAATATAAACTTAATTAAATTAAGATACAGCATGGTAATGTAGTGGTTTTGCAACATGGTCTTGTAAATCTTATTATCAGTAAAAAGAATGCTGTTTCAAGCAATGAGGGGAGCAAGTGTAAGTTTACGCACTCGGACAATAACAAGAATTTGTGTAATGTGCGGGGACCAAGTGAGCCAAACACCTAAATATCCGGCCTGCTTAGTTGGTCATAAAACAAGTGCATTGCATCGAGGCAGGGACACTATCCAATGTGGATATCAGTGTTATTCTGGTCGGTACAGTTGTACTGAAATCAGTATAATGGTACATTTATCAATCCATCGGTAAAAGTCTTACTACAAACAGTACAATGGTAATTTTAATTAGATACACCAAATAAGATAAACATGAAATTTTGTGTCAAAATACCTGTCAAAGTTTTTAGACATTTCCAACTTGAAGTTTTTTTATATTATATGCAACCCAAGCATCGACCATGCATTTTATATAGCCCAAATTCAGCTGTTAGGAAAATTTTTGTTTCAGACACTGGAAAAAACTTTAAATTTGAAAAGTCTAGAAGCTAAAAATCCTGGTATTTTGGTTTCAAGTTAAAACTGCAACTGAATTGTATACTAATTCAAAACATTTCATTAGTTAAAATTTGGCATAGAACAATTACTACGAGAGCACAATTTGAGTCAATCGTACAATCAAAATGCCGGAATCGGTACAAAAAGAAATTCCTAGGAATAATATTTACAGATATATTTTTTGTTGTTTTCATACTTATGTAAAATTTGACGGCTTTTGTGTTGTATTTTCAAGATTTTCTTTATTTTATGTGCATGGGCCTCTGCATGTACTATTTTGTGATAGAGCCACAGTTAGGGAACCAAAGAGCCATATTTGGCTCGCAAGCCACATTTTGCTGACCACTTGTATAGGCTATAAGGCGGACGATGAAGAATTTTCCAGTGCATTTCCTTCAGTTTCTGCTGTGTTACACGTACTGTATGAAGCCTAGCATTGCCATGAAGGATCAAAATTTTGTATACGGGACAATCTCATTTTTTATGTCAATATTGAAGCCTTGATCCAAGAGACTGCAGTAGTAGGTTATGTTGATGGTCTGACATCCATGTAAGAAATACGTTTCTTTCACTTTTTCTTTTCCAATCCATGCTTGCAAGCTTTGACCAAGAGATGTAATGATGCACTCCTGTCTCATCACAGGTCAAAATTTTATGCAAAAATGCTTCCCCTTCTTAAAAATGAGACTGAGGCAATTCAGAAATTCAAACTCATTCCGCTTTTTGATCATCATTCAGCAACTTCTGATGACCAATTAGACACTTAGCTGACACCAAGCTCTTTCAAATTCTGTTTGGTAAGCTCACAAACACCTGCAAATGCTTTCATTAGTTGTACTGTTGCAAGAACGATGGGGATGATAACATTGATTCGCAATATGTTCACCGCCTTCCTTGAATTTGTTGCACCAAACCTTCACTCTTGACCATGAAAGGGTTGCTTCCCTGAAGTGAGCATGCAGTTTGTGGTAAACTTCACCTAGTTTCACCATTTCATGGCTGAAGAAAAGCTATAATTACGTGTTGCTAAATAGGGACAGGCACACTCCTCTCATTCACCATAAAGACTACTATATAAAGCACAGGACAAGGTGGCTGGTGTGGTTCCCTGACTCTAGGCAACGCCCTCTAATGATTTCAAGTACCCAAGCACATACAAATACCCATCCTAACGCTCAGCCAATAAAAGCTTGTTCATAGTTGATCACCCTATGTACCAAGCAGCCAATAAAAGCTTGTTCATATTTGATCACCCTATGTACCACCGGAGTATCCATTTGAACTCATGTTTGGAACTAAAATGAAATCTACTAATCATGGCAAAATTACAAAGATGTTAAACACAGAGTAGATTTTGTCAAAGCTCGTGATTATCTTCAGCAGGAAGCTAAACAACAGATTTTGAAAGCATAGGATGAAAATCATAAAAACTACAATTTAAGATGTAAACCATCCTGTAAGATCCAGCTTTATGGTGTAGTAGCAATCAAGCATATACACTATGGACTTTGCCTTAAAAACCACACCCAAGTTTCTCAGACCATACAAGAACATAAAAATCAAGCCAAATGACTCGTATGATGTCGAAAAATGTGGTTCTTCAATGAACCTATGAAAACAAGCGCTTGTAACTTTGGAGTTTCGTGGACATTTTTTCATATGAACTGATCAACACCTTTGGAATTTAAATCCTATCAGACTTTTCTTTGATAATGATTGTTAAGTCTTATTTTTTTTATTTTTCCAGCTGTTGTTTTTAGAAGATTCTGATTCCATATTATTTTCATTTATCTGTATTAATTTAGTATTTTCATTTATTCTTTAACAGGATTAGTATCTTTAATGCATTTTATGTGTTTAATTTAATTGTGTTATGTCGCAAATTTTAATTATATTAATATGCGCTTTATGTTATATCATTATTCTAGTATTTTTATTTGTACTCATGTATATTTTAATCTGGTAAAAAGAGTATTCTTAAACAGGAGACACCTGGTTTATGGCCTTTTACTAACAGTGGAAGCAGTTAGGGTGTTGTCTTGTCGCTTTCTTCGCTGGTGACCTTTTTTACTAATAACACTGAAACGAAAATTTTAAATCAGCTTTCTCATTTCTCACTTGCTTTCGCTTTGTTATATTTGCAGTGTTTCTTTCAGCGAGCTTAGATAAATGGATTCTCTTATCACTTAGTTTCCGCTTGTTAGCTAAGGAGTCTACCTTACTTTCCCACGTCCCGAATACAGATGGTCAGGACTGCATTGTCAGAATTGCCTTGTTTTGATTCGTCATGGGGGTGGAATTTTATCAGTTAAAGATAAAGTAAAATTCTGGGATTGGCAAGATTTAATTTTATGAATTTTTTAGTAAGCCTATGAAATTTTCGGGGGCAGAGAAACGAGTTTACCTTGGAGGCTGCACGTTGTAAGAAGTTAAGTCTTCATCCAGATTCTGATTTTTGAGCTAAAAGGAAAAGGAGAAAAAGAGTGTGGAGGCTTGACCTTTTGCGAGTCTTGCTCTCGCACATGCCAAGAACCAGCGGGCTGCGGTTATGGATTTCTGGCTTTGAGCAGATGAGAATTTGCATTGAAAAAAAGGCACTAGAGCTCATCACAAAAAATTTATAGCATCGTCGTTTCTCCATTATAATTTTCTGAGAATAGTAAATAGATATTCCCGAGGTGATAAAGTGCAGGTAGGATTTCCTGTTTGTCTTGCCCAGTGCCTTTCCCATTTGGGTCCTTTCAAGGCCTTTCCCTGGTTTATTGAAGCATTCCTGATAAAGACTGTTCCTGATTTAAAAAGAAGCTTCCGGATACCAGTATTTTTCCTTGGATCTTGATTTTATTGAAGCGTTCCTGATAGCACTGTATCATTGACCTGCATCTGGCAAGTCGATGATAGCATTCCCGATTTCTTCGAAGGGTCAACAAAATAAGTTGGATGATCTGTTGAACTATTAAAACTCTGTATTAATCAGTCGATGATGGCATTCCCGATTTCTACGAAGGGTCAACAAAATGGACGATCTGTTGTACTATTAAAACTCAGAGAAATAAGAGTTTGATGTATGAACTTCACCCTTTGATTGAAAATTTTTATTCTTATTTATTTTGAATTACATTAATGATTACTCTTAATAACCAGGCTAGAATTGTCAGTTTAATGTTTGCTGAAATTTGAATATCATATCGTAGGGTTAAATTTGCTTAAAAATTAATTAATCGCTACACTGCAAATTTCATTATTCTTAAAGGAAATTACCTTAATTAATACTTGAAGTCAAAAATGAAATGAGTAAAATATTAGTGTTATATTTATGTTACTGTAGGATTTGAAAATGTTAATTAATGCAAGCTGTAATTTGGTGCGGTATTCTGTATTATTTTGCATAGTATTATTATGGTAGGGAACTGATCAGTTTACCCAGTTAACTTATATTATTCTAGAAATCAATAAATTTGTGTGTTTAAAATTTAATTGCATTTGTGTATTTATTTTGTGTGTGGTCTGTCATGTCCCACCATTTGTTTGAGGCGGGAGGCTTTTTAAGAAACATGGAGCTTTATTGAATTTGGATTATTGTTTTTCCCTAGTGGGATTCACAATGCACCCTACTGTACTGACCCATTTCCACTATATGATTGCTATATGATGAATATTTATTTTGTTCGTTTGTCCGGCATCATAAGTCAGTCAGTTTAAGTTGAGTTTAAAAATAAAAGTTTTTTTAAAAAAAACCTAATTTTCAGCTTTGCAACAACTGTGTGCTCTTGTCATCTCACAGAATACGATGTAAGATGGCTAAATTATACAGGAAATGGCCAAGCAACTGTAACTATACGACGTTAACTTTCGCATACCATCTAGATGAGCACGCAGACAAGATGTTAACAATGATGAATGCTGATGCATTATGTAAAAAACTGCTTTTTACTTTTTATTACTTTCCAATTCATGTAAATAAATCATAGTTTAGTAATAACTTGGTGAGTATTAGTGAATATTTAGTGAAAGTGTGTAATTATTCTTTAAAATATCATAATTTATTTATTTCTCTCACTCTGCAATTTCATTTATTAACATACCCATTTATAAGATACTACCAAATTTTAAAACAAAAATACAGCAAAAAAGAGAACCTTATTTCAAGATAGATAATTTATTATTATAACTCTTATTTGCAATACATATAAGGAAAAATTGAAAAATCACATGCATTAAAGGCATAATTAAAGCAAGACAAAACTATCAATATTCCATGATATTACCTTTTCATACTATGTGGCTCTAGATTTAATGGTTAAAATTGAAATAATAATAATAATTTAATGTTTAATAATTGCTAATCGAAAAAATAAAGACAGCTAACAGCACTTTTCTTATGGCAGGACAGAGTATTCACCAGCAAAATCATAAATTGTTATGAAAATCCATTACTTTATATATGCTCTCAAAAATACAGAAAGGATACTTTAATTTTATAATGCAGTTCTAATTCTCTATATTAAAGAATGATATTTTTAATTTTAAATGTTTATTTTTAATTTACATTTTAGTAAAATTTTGTCAAAAATGTTCAATAAAATGTCTTTAGTAGGAATTATCATGTGATAGTATTTGAAATATTTTAGAAAGCATATATAAAGTAATGGATTGAGAATTAGAACTGCACTATAAAATTAAAGTATCCTTTCATAGAAAGGAGAAAAATGCTTGTTAAATATACTAATTTAGACATTTTTTCAAATATAGAGTATCTAAATTCTTAATTACAGTTTAACACCACTGCATTTAGAAAAGCACAGTACTGCATGAACACCACAAATGCTCTAACTTTTTAGCTTTTTTAAAAAGATTAAGTCATTACTTTATAATGATAAGATTTTTCAATTTTTCTAAAGGTAATTAAAATTCATTAATTTTCTTCTATATAACCACCTTTTTTAAAACAACGACTGATTTAATCAAATGTATTATTTTTAATAGCAATAAAAATTAACGAACATTTGACTAATCTTGTCCATTTTAAATAAATCAATACATTAGGTAACATTTTATTCTTTTTACCTAAATTAGAGTAAAATTACAAATGCATATTTTTAATGAAATAAAATTATATTATTATTTGGAAAGCACAAAAGAATATTTTATTTTTCAATAGGAAACATATTAAAATAATGAATAAATATACTATACAACAACAAATAACACTACAACAGCCAATGTAAATTTCAATAGGCTAGACACCATATCTACATGTAAAAGAAATTAAAATAACTTACCCCAATTTCCCGAAACAAGGGTAAACTTTTGCACCATTTGACAATTTTGTATAACCTATTATCTGCAATGTTGCATAAATTACTAAGAAAATCTTGATCACCATCAGGCATTTTAGTTGGAGCTTGATTAGATGATCTGCTGGAATCTCGATCAGTATAGTGCCATAGATGCTCAACAGAGAGTATGTCATGAATTAAAGGTGGAACTATAGGCTGGTTTTGTTCATCAGGAGAATTAGCACCTGCAGATTCTTCATCACAAAAATAATTAAAGATTAAATTTTAACATACACATATGTGGTACGTCATTAATCTAAAACATCAGAATACTAAAAACAAAATATTACACAGAAATGCATTAAAAACAATGTACCTTCATGACCAAAAGCACAAGATAACCGCAAACTCGACATAATGGACTGAGAGACTGTCAAGTTTCCGAAAAGTTGAGTTTTATGGAATAAGGGGTGAAATTTTCACAACTCTTAATATTTAACTGTAAATTACTCTAAACGTTTGCAGCACAACATTGGACACAGAAAAGTACAGCACATCATCAAAGTAATGTAGATTTTTTAATGTCAATTTCTGGCAGAATAGGAGTCATAAGATAAAAAACAAAGAACAAATACCCTAAGATAATTAAGTAAAAAAACTTGCAAAAATTGAGAAAAATTATTAGTAGTTCTTGGTAGAAAAATATTGTGTGACAGTAAATTGTCTCTCGCACTCATTCCGTCGTCGTGCAGCTTCATCTGTAGGTGAAGGAGGAACAAAATATCCATACTAGATGCACCTTGCTCCTTCATGTAATGGAGCATTCCTTCAGCCTTCAGTCCTTAACTATAGTCATCATTTTAGCTTTTCTGTTGCTTTCTGTCTCTTCGTTTTCTGATTCAGCTTCCTTTTATCAACAATGTCTTTCACCAGTGCAACCATTTCTGCATGTTCTAAAGTTTCACAATTTTCAACTTATCCCATCCATTCTTCAACGTCACCATCAGTAACTTCTTTGAGTCAACTATTTCACAATTTTCTGGCTCTTCTCTGCTTTCATGAAATTTGTTTTCTGAATGGTCCAGCAACTTTCTCCATCTCCAGGAATGAATAAGGCTTATCTGCTCAATTTCAGTCCAAGAATGAGCTATCTATCCAACAACAACACACATATCTATTTTTTTTTTTTTTTCCCTTCAGTTTCTTCATCATATCACACCCTTCCACCAAGGCTAAGAAAAGAGATGAAAGATGTTTTAATCTGTATTTTTGATTCAATGACTCTGAAATGCCCTGGTCCATCAGCTGACACACTGAAGTTATGTTAGGAGAGAGAGAAACATGGCTCTAATATCTTCATCTCATGACTGTTCAGAATCAGGATGGGATGAGGCATTGTCTAGAATGATAATCATCTTCCTTTGTAGATTTTTTAATTTTTATAAAAACTTGACTAAAATGGAACGAACTGTTGATGAAACCAATCATTAAATATTGCTCTATTCATCCATGCATTTGATTGATTCTGGTACCAAACAGGAAGATCATAGCTGGCTTCAGTCTCACTAGTGTACTTTTTTACATTTTTAAACGCCCGGGGATTTTTTGTTTTGTCTATAAGCACTAGTTTCAGCTTATGGCTGCCTGTTGCATTACTGCATGCCAAGACTGTGACTCTGTTTCTTTTGTAGCTAGGTGCCGTTCTTTTCTTCCCTGAATGCCAACGTTTTCAAAGGTAGCATTCGAAAATTCAGACCAGTCTCATCACAATCATAAATTTGATCTCCAGATATACCCTCCTTTTCAATTAGTTTGTGGAAATTATCCTTTAATATTACAGCATTTTCCAAGTCAACAGATAGTTTTTCTTCACAAATGTTTAACTGCCTAGAGCCGTACAGCTTTTTCCATCTGTTGAGCCAGCCAGCACTAGCAAAAAATCTAAGCTGTCCTTGAAATTCATCAGGAAATTTTAGGGCTTTCTCTTGTAAAATTGGTCATGAAATAAGCATTTCCTGTTCCCTTTCTTGCCTCAGCCACAAATAAAGCACCTCACTCACTTTTTCTTTTCTTTAAACTATCTGTACATGCTCTTTTCACACACCAAGACTCAATTTCGGACCTCTTCTTTTTCCATCCTAACACCGTCCGTCCAACCCACCCCACAACGTAGTCTGTCCAACATCTAAATCCTTAGTAATTTTGTTTACACTTTCCCTTTTGTCCAGTTTATTTAAGATATGTATTTCCATTTTCATTGTCATGTTAGTTTGTTTTCTTTTCGAACGACATTTTTCACTTCACAGAACATCAAAAGTTCCCAAAAATACGTTAACACTTGGATGGAAACTTAGCAGGGTTCATACACATTTCTGCACGCGAAAATTAAGGACTTTTAAGGACCATTAACGAAAAAAATTAAAGACCTATGAGCAAATGGGAACTGAGTAAATTCAATTAAAAATATTATAGCTATGCCTGAATATGAGTAGGATGCATTATTATTAAACAAATCTTAATTAACATAATTATTAATACACTTGAGAATAAAATTAATTTTATGAAATTTATCAAGTAGCATTAAATATTTTACATTTATAATAATTGGACATATTTGAAAGAAGATAAGTGACATTTTAGTTATGTTTTACTAACAGTTAGCTTTTTTTTTTTTTTTTTTTTTTTTTTTTTTTTAATGTCTCATTATGTCACATATGTGCTCAGTAAAGTAAATTTAGGTTTAGTAAATAGCAAGTAGATTTTTATGTCAAGCAGCATAGATTAAAATGAGCATTAAAATCACAGTCAGCATGATTCATAACAAAAGACTGGCTGTTGTCACCGCTCCTGCTTACCTTTAGAGAAACCTGCTGATCAGAACAAATTTGAAAGGCCTGATGCAGGCACAGTTAAATAAGTTTTGAAAGTTAGCTGACCTCTGTCTGACGCTGTTAGTGTTGCAGCTTAGTGTAGAGTTCCAGGGGTTGTAACTCGGTTAATATACTTTAAGGTCAAGCCACTAAAGCATTAGCGGTGATAAGTTGTTTTGCATTAAGTCTCATTAGATGCAAAGAATAAGTTTCACATGAATTTTTATATTCTTGTGCTTTACCTTGTGACCATGGTAAAGCTTAACACATTGAGCCCGGCGCCGAATTTGCTGCCCTTTCCGTTCAGCCGGCAGCGAGCGATCAAGCGGTGCAATATTGCCGACTTAAATTATTCATAAATTATACAAAAAGGAAGGAGACGCACATAAAGTCTGAAAGTATTGTTCGAAATGTTATGATGACAATTCAAAACTATTTGGATGCAAGATAGACAAAAATGTTACCCAAATAGTTGTTTCATATTGTAATATGTGTAAAGCTAAGTCGTATTTTTGTTTAGAATGTTTCAATAAATTTCATTAAAACTACATTTAATCACATTTCATTTAAGACTACACTTATTTTTTAACTTTAATACTGTCGGTCCTGTGGACCGACGCCAGCCAAACGAAAATTCAGGCACAACGCCGGGCTCAGCGTGTTAACGAAAGGCAATAACTTGCTTTAATATAGAGTGATAATTTTTAAGGGAATGCATTAAGTTATAATTAAATTAAGTATTAGGTAATCTTAGTCATTATACATTTACATGGCCACTATTAAATTAAATTTATTTTTTAATAATATTTGTTACAAAACCCTATTAATATCACAATCTCATAAAATTTCACAGTTTAAAATACATGCAATTTTTGACATTTGATTTTTAAACAATATTAGGATAATTGCACAGCTACAAAACATAAAACTCAACAAAATAATTATGCGTCTTTTTAATTTGAAGGCCTGCCAAGATATTTTGGCTAATTTATATCGATTTCCTTCTCCTTAAGCATGTTTTCTAACAATTAGAAATTTGTCTCAATATGCAAAACAATATTCTCATTAGTTTCTGAGCGTTTTATCTTATAACTGCCAACCTCTCCACAATGATGACCACAACCTATGAGGGTTTACTTGATCTGATAAAAGTTAAATAGTCTGACCCCCCCCAGACGTGAAGCAAATTATCACTATGTCTGAAAGTAACTATAAATCAGATAATACATTTAAATAAAGGTTTAAATAAGCTTCTTATTCAAAAAGAACTTGGAACATATAGGCCTGTGCTTACGCTAACAAAATCAATTACAGTTTACGGTGATATAATTAAACAAGAGTCAAATTCAAACTAAAAATATGGACTAGTGGTCAAAGACTATACAATTTAATTTCAATTTAATCTGGTTCAATTTAATCTGGTTTCAATTTAACTCTATTGTCATAATAAACTCAAATGTCAGCAGCAGTAATGGAAAGACTAATAATTACAAATTATCAGAGCTGACAGAACTAATGCAGGGAGTAAGTGGAGGTAAGAAACACACTCGTCTTACACTCGAAAAACCTCAGTTTAAAAACTGTCTTGTGAACAGTGATTTGCATTCTGATGAGGAAATAGAAATGGGAAATTATAGTAAAGGCTGAAACTGTAAATAATTGGGTAATTTACATAATAATAACTGTACATATCTTTGAAGAATAATTTTCTTTCTCTTTACATATTTAGTTTCTTTTTTCAACACGTTTCCTTTTCACTTTAAATTTTTGGCATTTAATTAAAGACTTCTGTTATTCTAAAAGACTAAATGCATTTAGAGTGTATGGAAAAATCTGCTAATTTTATTTCTTTAGTAATACAAACATTCAGAAGAAATATGAAATACATATGGTAAAGTCTGGTCACAGAGCTGGTGTGGCATAATTTTTAGAATTTAGAGCAGGCATTGGAAGCAGAATTTAGAAAGGCACCAAGCAGCAGAATTTAGGATCCACAGAGATTGCATCAGGTGACAAAATGCCTAGCGCCAGCTCTATGTATGATGCATTAAGACATATTAGATGAATTTTTTGAATTGTCAGCTTTCAATTTCTTTAGTAATAAAAAAAATTCCTTTCTATAATGCCTGTCCATATGATAAGATTAGAAGTACTTTTGATATTTTCCATGTTTGTATCTAGTAAAAAGTAGAGAAAATAAAGGGAAGATAAAAATGTTAAAAAAGCGATTCTAGAATCAGAAGTAAAACATTCCACTATTATGTTTTCATTGCTCTTCCAGATGTTCTCCAAAATGTAAGAAACTGTGTGTTACTACCATGGAGAGATTTTTCATTTTATCACATTTTCCTAGAATCTTTTAGAAACGTGGGCCTATAATTTGCCTAGAAATCTTTCTCAACTTTCCAAGCTTCAATGTCTAAAATCCTAAAGAAAAATTACCCCTACCAGTTCTGTAACAGAAAAATCCATAAATGTTTTTAGAAAAAATTTGGAGGGAAAAAAGTGTGAAATTAATTTTATAGAGAAAACTGATGCATATTCTGATAATTCTGATCATTCTGAAAAATGGGGAAAATTCTTATCACGAAAAAATTAAAAAGGCATTTTTAATTAATAACAATGCTATTCTGCTTTTGCTAAAAACTATTTTGTAAACTGTGCTTTATAGCATTATTACTTGCTTATTTTTCAGATTCAAAAAATTGTATAATATGTGGCCAAAATGGAACTTTATAATACGACAGTGGAAAAATATGCTTTATTTTAATGCTATTTCTTAAATATAATTCCAATATATTACCATTATTTTAATGAAATTTATCAATGTTAGAATGTTCTAAAAAATCATCAAAAAATTCCCAGATCTCGGAATTAAAAATTTTCTACAGAAACCGATCGTAAAATCGCCAAAATGTTGATAATTGCCAAGTTTAGAACCATTTAATAAAAGAATTCACATCCCGAAAAGCGGAAAGTTGTTTGAGAGCTCTTCATTACAACAAATGAAATAATTTTGAAATGCTTATGTTTCACTTCTTGCTCAGAAACTCAAGTATCCCACCCTTATTTATATTACAAATAGGAACAAATTATAACTCATGAACCCATTAAAAAAATTGCCATATTTGTCAGTGAATTGCCAAAAATATTCCTGCAAAATGCTAATTCACGCCCAAAACGGCAGTCGTAAAAACAAACAGAAATTTCAGATGATTAAAATTAAGGACTTCTGGCGATTTTGGCCAAAATTAAGGACTTTTAAGGACCAAAAATCGATTCCAAAAAACTTAAGGACTTTTAAGGTCTCTTAAAGACTATACGAACCCTGCTTAGGAACGATACCGACAATGAACTGGTGCGAGTTTAGTTTGCAATAAGATTCAGTCACAAAACTTTAGATAAGTCCCCTAACATTTTGAAACAATAAAAAGGAATGTGAGCCAGCAGCCAGTTGCTACCTTATTTTCTTTGATCCTCCAAAGAAGCAAACAGCATTGCCAAGAATTGCAACATATCTTGAAATTTGTTAGGCAGTTCCAAGAATTATGGCACAATGCAAAAACGGCAAAAATGCAGAAAAAGAACATTCAAATCTTTAAGCAAAACAAGAAAAACATATGCATAAATAATAATCATATGTACTGTATATAATATTTGCTCTGTTTGGCCTAGAGATGAATATCTTAAAAAAGTTCCTAAAAATTATCGAGTTGCATGGAATGTCAAGATATCAGGAATTGAGTTTGCTGGACTCTACTGTATATGACACAGAATTAAATAATCTGTAGTTACTTGTTTGAAATTGTGAATTAGTTTTTAGGCAGTAAAGCATAAAGAAAACCCCTATTGAAAAGTCTGATGTGTCAAATTTCATACAAGAGCCAGCATTCAATAATTAAAAATTACAATGATTAGCCCATTTTAATTGGGTGTTCATTTTTTTAAAGTGCCTGCTCTCCTATATATTATTTCTAGTTCTTAAGATCATTACTTATTATGCACTTGTCTCTACACTACTCCCTCCTATTATACACAATCTAGACGAAAGTATCTGGACATCCAGTGGTATAGACTTAAGAGAGCCCTGAGACATTTTAATATGATGTTGGTCCCCCTTTAGCATCGATGACAGCTTGCACATGTCTGAGGAGACCTTCCACTAGTTTTTGATAAGTGGCCAGAGGAACTGACTTCCAGGTGTCCATCACAGCTGAAACAAGTGCTGTCAGTGAGAATGGTCAATTTGGTTGCCTATGTAATCTGCATTATAATTTGTTCCAAAGATGTTCTATGGGGTTTAGATTGGAACTCTGAGAAGGCCAGTCCAGGTTTGAACATCCATTCCATCAACTATAGCTGGGCAAGTCTCAATGTGTGAATGGAGCATTATCCTGTTGAAAGAGAAATGGGCCTTGCCCGAAATACTGCCATAGAGTTAGAATAGCAGCTTTGTCATGGATGTCCATAGACCTCAGAGTTCATGTTTCTAGTCACAGAAACTAAAGGACCCAGACAAAACCATGAAAAACATTCCCACACAATGATGTTGCCACCAATAAACAGTTGGCACAATGCAGTCACTTAAGAAGTGTTCACCACGCATCCGTCAAACACAGATGTGTCTATCGGACTGCCAGATTGTAAAGCAGGATTCATCACTCCAAAGAACATTTTCCACATGTCCACAGTCCAATGATGGTGAGCTTTGCACCACTGCAATTAATGCTTCGCATTCTGGGCACTGATGGGCTTGTGAGCTGCACAACCATGAAATCCCAAGATATTCAACTATTGACAAACAGTCCTGCTGCTAGCACTAATGCCTGATGAACTTGGGAACTCCTGAGTGATTTCAACCAATGAGGACTTGCGATTTTGTTTCACTTCTCTTTTCAGAGTTTTAAAGCTGTGTTCACTAATTTTTTTGGGCCTGCCACTTCATTTTTCTGCAGTTTCAATGCCTCAGTAGTTCCAGTTCACAATTACATCACACACAGTGGATTTTAGCTTCTGTAGACTGTCCAAAATTTTATGGACTGATTTTCCACACAGGTGACATTCCACTATACTGCCACAAACAAAGTTACCAAGCTCCTCTGGCATACTCATTGTTTCACAAATGCATAAATATGACCTGACAAACCCCTACCAACACTTTTGTAGTTCTTGGTTAAGAAAAAATTTTTTTTAACATTCACTGCTTGTTACTGCATACAGTGCTGATGTACTACTTGGTGATAAAAGTAAAAATAGCAGTTTATTGTAGAGATGTTATATATTGTTTATAAAATGAACATTATTTTCTGTCTTAACCCCTTTATACAAATAAAATGTGCATCTGAAGAATACCATTTAATTTGGACACTCATGTGCAAGCTTAGAAACAGAATGTTTTATTTTCAAATTTGCATTTCTATACAACAATAATAATATACTGTGCATCGTTCGCCGAAGGCAATTCTTGATGACACCAAAACGTCAGAGTCTACAATGGCACATGAAATCAATGATGTCTCCCGGACGTTACTGTATGTCAAGTGTTTAAGCATCTATGTATGTAACTATCAGTACCTTACAGTAACTCTGTAGCGGTTCATATTTTATAAATCGATAAGAACTAGAAATAAAATTTGTTAAACCAGGATTAGTTGTCAGCTGCTTTATTTAGCATTGTGTTACAGAAACCAGCTGCATGGCACCGGGACCCAATTCTAATTCTGGAAAATCATGGATGTTTTCAAAGGCCTTTATGGCATGAAGACACTTAAAATATTTTTTAGCAAAAAATCCTGTCACAGGTTGGTGGTTGGGGGAAAAAGGGACGAAAGATTCTTGGAATGACCCCACATAACAAAACTGGAAGAACACTTGAGCATGGTATCAGCTGTGAAGTGCACAAAGCCATTTCTAAGGATAGACACAACTCCCTTTCTCTTGTCCACAACCTGATCCAAACCTTGTTCACAGCACACAAATCAATATTTAAAAAAAAAAAAAAAAAAAAAAAAAAAACTAAGATTAATAAAGAGAGAACAGATATCAATGTCTGTAAAGAGTATAAATGAAAGATTTCAACAAGGATATTTTTTCAGTTCCTTAATCAGAAATATCATCTGTGATTGTATTTTGCCCTTGATGTTAACAACATATTCAACATTATACTTAAAAACAGAACTCATAACTTCTGTCTCAGGAATTCCAACTTGCATGTCAACATGACTCGCATTCTAGTTTAAAAATTATTACTAAATTTCTCATTTTGAAAGAAAATTTTCCATTTACAAAAATAAATATATAAATTAAAAAATAAAAAACTTGTGACAATTAAAACATGTAAAATAAATTCTTTTAATGCATACCTTTGGAAGACCTGGAGGAGGAAATATCCTGCTTAGTATGGCAATCACTTGGAAGTGAAGATGGAGAAATACTGATATCACCCGTGAAAGGCACACGATCATCACCAAGTGATGTTGCAGGCAATGTATATGAACATTGGTAAGTGCTACGTCCGCCTCTTGTTCTGTCTTCTCGGATAGCTGAAAAAATTTTACATTTTATAATAAATTATATATTTGAATGCAGGGTTATTGGTGCTGAACCAATTTCAGATAAGCAACTTCATGTCTATTAATAGTATATTAATTTGATACAGATCGAATGAAAATTGAAGTCTGACTTTTAATATATCCTGCAAAAATGTTATCACAGAATAATAACTCTTTTCAATGAAGGACTTTATCACATGTCTTACAGTTTGGTGTTCTACAAAATGGCCTCCAAAATTACTACACTTTAAGCAATGCATCGTTTTTCCTTTATATTAAGGATGCTACATTCAAGTGATCTTGTCTAGAAGCCTACATGATCTCAAAAACCATAATGCTACTTCCGTACACAATCACAAAAGGCAGCTTGGAACAAGTTGTCATGATCCAAGTTATTGGTATTAACACAACTAAAGGATGTCACACTGAACACTCAGAAAGTAAAACTTAAGAACATTTTTTTTTCATTTCACATAATATTAACTAAATATCTTTAGTGGAATTGAAGGGAAAAAAATCACTTCAAATTAGTCAATTGCTTTAAATGAGCTAGTACAATCTAGAAAATATTCAGAAATAGATGTATGAATGTAACACATGCCTGAATGTCATCTACAGACAAAAAAATAAAAGCTATTATTACTAATGATAATACTGAATAATAGACCAGGGAGGGGCAGTTGCGGTTTTATTGCAATAAACAGCATACTGTCTGATTTTTTTAAGGTGGGGGGGGGGGAGGTATGTAGTTTGCAAAATGACAAGCTAAATGAGGCAGGCCTGGCAGAATAATTTTTATATCTATTTTTAACTGCTGCCGAACACATTTTGGATGGTTATCGAATAATATTCAGAGTCATCATTATCTGGAGATGGGTATAAGATGTACCAGTTTGTTTTGCTATCTTCAAAGTAATCAAAATCACTTTCAATAACAGATATTATCAGGTACATAAGCTCTATCAGTTATTGAACGTTTCCTGCAAGCCATATTTTGAATATAAAAAATGACAACAGCGAGGGCACTTACAAAATCAGTTAGTGAATTCATAGAAATTATGGAAATTTATAAGACAATAATGCCATCTGTGGACCAAAACATGACTCAAAGTGTAAATACTGTAAAAGATGCATTTTTGACAATTAAATGGGCAAATGTCGAATGTGCTTTTCAATAAAGGGGAAAATTGCATACTGGTGAAAATACCGAGATAAGCAGTCAAAGAAGTTAACATATAATTGCCATTTTGCTAACAAAACCATTCCTATTTGAGAGAAGTTGGATCACCACCTTGAATTTTCAAAAACCATATTATTTTTTACAGCACCATGAATTATAGTTTAAAACTTTTATTTATGCAAAAGTGAAATATTTCAAGTTACAGTTACATACTTTGATTGTTTGGAAGTTATTTCAGTTCTCTCCAACGAAATACTCATATGAGAAGAAAGAAAGTTGAAGAATGTTCAGAAATGAAAGTTAGTACAATTCAGATAACAGTGTAATATAAAATGAGAAAGGCAAGAAAGTTTCACAAATAAGATGAAAAGCCAAACAGGATTCAAATATATACGATCTAAGTACAAATGTATTGCTCAGAATAATTAACTCTCAAATCATTAAGAATCTACATATGATATTAATTCACATGCACCTAACTTTAGAATTAAAGGGTCCCCCCCCATTGCATTCTGTTAAAAAAAGGAGGAAGAGAGAGAGAAGATTCTTTATTCTATACTAGTTATTTTAACTATAAATTCACATAAGCTAAAAATAAAAATATCACCTTGATAACAATCAATTGGCAACACTTCCTATTTTGCCAGGGCATAATTTCTGCTCTGGAAAATTCAGCAAATATAAGACTTGTAGAATGAAAATAATAGCACTTGCTGTCTGTTGATGCACTGAATAACAAAACTGAATCACAACTGAAATAATTTGATGACATTTAAAACTCTTACCTTCTAATTTCATACCCATGCGAAGGCATTTATTGAATCGACATGCCGGACACTTTTTCCTTGTGCTAATGGAAACATGACAGTTGGCTCCACGTAAACAAACATAGTTTTTCTTATTTTGAACAGTGCGTTTGAAGAAACCCTTGCAACTTTCACAAGAAAAAATTCCATAGTGGAATCCAGATATTCGGTCCCCACAGATAGGACATGGCCCGCTAAGTAACTGTTGCCGGGATATACCAGGTGGACCACTGAGGCTAAGAGGATTTTGAGAAAGATCACCAAGCAGTTGCAACCTGCTGTCATCTAGATTGTCACTGGACGGCCTACGAGTTGGACTGGAAAAGTCACTTGCATTGGATTCATCAGAGGCACTGGAGGCAACTGAGGCACTGGATGCTGAAATAACATTCTTTTATAATAGAAGTACAACAATCGATCTCAAAAATAATAATAAACTGAAAATTATACAGCTTAATGCAAATGTCGATAAAAAATTACACCTGTCATTGTTATAGGCAAGTGTAATTCTCTATTAACTCATTAATTAAATATGATTTTCTACAAAAACTAGAGAATCCATACAAAACAAGTTTTCTTCCAGTTCCCCCACATAGCATATTATTACTTTCAAAGAGACAGTAATATTCATCAATATGTTTTAAAATATTGAGAGTTATATAAATCATCAATCAAGAGTTATATAAATCACCCATATGTTTTAAAATGTACTGAAAGAAATTAGTAAAGTATATGCTTAAAAAAATAATCTTTACATACTTGTTGATCTAGCTTCTGGTGTTGGATGCTGAGACAAGGGTGATACTTGACTCAATCTTGTCTCAATACCAAGTTGATCTTGAGATACATACTGATATGGTGGGTGAAGGGAAGAGGAACTATCGAGTAGACAGCTTTGATCAGGTGTGCTAGAACCAGCCTTATGCACCAGACCAGGTGAAACAGATACACTGTACGGACGGTGGCGGGATACATTCGAACCACTCAGATGACCAGGACTTCGAGCAGGAGAGAAACTCTCCAAATCCCCTCTTCTGCTCTGATTAGGACTTTGAGATGGTGAAAAGACAGGTCCTTCGATGGTAATATGTCGGCTCTGGAAAAATTTATTAGTTCAATTTACTTTCAACTTACATCACATTCAGTTACAAACAAATTGAATACACTCTTTTGCAAAAACAAAAATCAAAGCACCAAGAAGGACTTTTGCGATCGTGATGAAATTTGGTATGCAAAAACATCTCGATTGAACATGTAAATGACAAAAGTTTCAAGGCAAATGAACAGGAATTGTGATCATAGTGCGCCATTCGCAAAGAATAAAACCACTAACAGAGGTGGAAAACTTATTTATTTATTTATTTATTTATTTATTTTTTCCCCTGCCGTTGTAATTCTGTAAAGAAGTAACTAAAAATGCCATTACGACGATATTGAAGACCTTACAGACAACTAAACGACTTCAAACGTGGCATCGTAGGGTTGCGTGAAGCTGGGTGGCCATACCAAGCAATAGGCCGCCACCTGCAGCATACAGACACTGCTGTGCAAAGATGTTGGCAGCAATGGTTACTACAAGGAAATTGCTGACGAAATGAAGGCTCTGGAAGGCAAAGGAGTACAAATGCATGGCAAGATAGGATGATTGTTTGCCAGGTCCAAACCACCCCAACAGTATCATTGTCGACTCTTCAACGCACTACAGCCATGTCTATACCTCCTGTGGTACCATCCACCATCTCACAGCGCTTGTCTGATGCGGGATTATGCTCACAGAGGACTTTAAGACATTTGCCTTTGACTTCACAACATCAGTGGAGTTGTCTGGAGTGATATCACAGCCGATCATCATGGCTGCCATCAGACTGTCATTGTATAGTGTTCAGCAATGAATCTCGCTTCACTCTTGAAGCAGATGATACCTGTGTTTGTGTCTGGAAAGGATGGGTCAGTGGTCTTAATCAGCCTTTGTTTTACAAAAGCATACATCCATAACCCCTGGTGTGATGGTGTGGGGTCCTATTTCTCTTATGACAGCAGGTCACCTTTAGTCATTTTAACAGCTCAACGACATGTTGATATCGTCCTGTGGCTGGTTGCATTACCCTTCATGGCACGTCATCCTAGAACCATTTTCCAACAAGATAATGCCAGGCCACATACGGCTCGCATATCTCTGGACTGTCTCCGTGCGGTTGATACGCTTTCTTGCCCAGCAAGGTCACCAGACCTTTCATCAATCGAGCGTGTCTGGAACATAGTAAACCGCCATATTCGGGCACCACAAAATATTGCAGATCTGGAGTGACAACTGATGAATGCCTGGCACAATAAGTCGCGGGATGACATTAGGAACCTCTACCACTCCTTGCCTTGACGAATTCAAGCATGCATTGACGTCAGAGGCGGTTCGACCAACTACTAATTTGAACACTCAGTGGGTGATTGTGAGCCGTGAATAGGTACTATGACCTTGATTTTTAATTATTTTATTATATGTATATGAGCTATATACATATTTAATTTCATTTAACAACCACCTCCTTCCTGGCGCTTCAATTTTTTTGCAAAAGAGTATATATATATTGTCTGACACCCCCAAAACAGATACACATTGAAGCTTTATTAGATTATTATTATCAATAACAGTACACAAGCATTGTTTCAATTAGTTCCCAGCCTTATTTCTGACCAAAGTTGTATTAAAATTTCTCTAAGATTCTTTGCTTTAAAAGCAAAAAAGTCTTTATTCTTTAATTCCTTCTGTAGTACATATATACTTTTAACTGGCTTGAGATCAGGAATTTGTAATGGCCAAATGTGAACACTCCAATCTCTTTAGATTCTTCTATAATATATACCCCACATCCCTAAATGAATGAAATCAGAAATTTGTAATAGTTAATTTAAATGTAAAAATTCTTCAAATCAAGTTTTCAGGGTTGAAAGAATTTTTGCATTGTTCCATCGTTAGCTTCGAAAAGGGAAAAAAAAATAAATGATGGAATAAAATGATCTTCATGATATGCTAGATGCTCAGCTGAGTTCATTTTATTGCTGAATAGTACTGACAACCCTTGTCCAGCTAAACTATCTTCAATTATAACATTTTCTCCAATGCTTGTATAGTAAGCATAATACATTAAAAGTTCAATGTTACATGAGTTTCATCTAACTCTTATGCCTTCATCACGCTGAGAGAGTGTTAACCTGAACTCACTGGACCACATAATCCCTACTACTTTAACCCTTTCATCCCGAAAGGTCATGTGTACCACAGATGTCTAAAAATACCTGCAGGACATATTTAACATTATAACTAAACAAAAAATGTAGCACTGTGGTACTTTAAGTACCATAACATCACCACAGTGTATAACATAATGTGGATTTCACTAAATATAAGGTTATGTTTGTTAATAAACCAGTGAGCACCTGTTGTTATACATTTTACAGTACATTTGTGCAAGAATTTTATACATAATTTTATTCTATAATACTTATTAATACATTTAGAAAAGAAATAGAATATCATGGTATGTATGAATTAAGAAATTATTTATCTTTTTGATTATCTGGTATACGTACCAACCGGTATTGTTACCAGTTTAGCTCTGAAATGGCTCACCCATTGATGCAAAAACAAATAGCTGCAACACTGATGCAAACAACTAGACAACATTGCAAACACTGATGATTGATGAACATCGATGAAACAATTGATGCAACACTGATGCGAAAACAACTACATACCACTGTGCAAAGATTGTTATACCACATACCACTGTGTTGTATCATATCAAATAGATTTTATTTTGTGTAATCATTTTTCTTTCAATAAAATTAACATTTAATTGAAAGTCATTATTTGGTACGTACTGGTACATTATTTGGTACGTACTGGTACACTCCCAAGC